CCTTTTTATACTGTTTTTTCTTAAGACACAAATAGACCTTTCCATGATTGGTGCCTCAAAACTCCAACCATTCTCCACCCCACCACCTAACCTCCGACCTCCTACTCTTCTCCTCCTTTCTTCGTATCCTGGCACCTATCACATTACAGTGTACAGGCGTAATCAGATAGACGCAACCCACAAACGTAAAATGAGCCTAAAGGGAAAGGATGTAAAAAAAGAGTTGAACATGTGTCTCCTACACCAACAAATGATTAAAATATGTTGACAACAAATGTAGACACAAACAGCTGCATGAAAATACCGTCAGCATACACACAGTTACTGTCATAATACAAAAGGCGTAGATATGGGGGGAAAAAAAACAGGACGTACCATTTCTGCTGAAAGGTTTTTGGATAAGTCCCATTATCCACCAAGATAAACTGATACAAGATCCTGGAGAAAGAACACTGTGTGTATTTATTAAGTCAACTGAAAACTACAAAACACAAAACATGCAACAATTACTTGCAGTTCAACTTATAAAGTATTTAGTGCTCCTCCCTTTGGTACATTCCTGCAAAAATGGTTTTTGGGTTAATAATTTTGATTTAAATGTTGTGTATATCTCCATCTGAACATCAATCTGTACACATCTGGATCACGTAATGCCTGAAGATCTCTGTTAATTAAAAGATTTCTGTCACTCAGGTATGGATCATAACAAGCCTCCATACCGTTCTTTAATTACAAGCACAAGTATTTGACACCTATATTGAGTAGCAACATTCTTTCACAATGCTCAAATGACATGACGAAGTATGACATGAAGTGTGTTCCCTGACAAATGCTTATAGAGTAGCATATGTTTTTCACAGGGTCTGAAGTTAGCTGCCAACTGGCTGTCTCTAATCAATAAATTAGAGTTACCTTATGGTGTTGACAGAAGCTCATCACTGTGTGGAAGGCTTGTGAAAGTTAGGTACAAAAAAAAACACATCTATGTGAAGTCAAACGGATATTTTTAATTGTTTTATTCTTAAATAAAACTGAATTTGTTAGAATTTAAACAAGGCATCTAAATAAAATTAATTTAAACTGAAAAATCATCGGAGTGATTACACTAATATAATACTGCATGAGGCAGCCAAAAAAAACCTTCCCAAATTACAACACCAACTTTGACAAATAAACAGTGCACAGTGGCAGGAGAAGAGTCATCACAAATGGGAGTCATGTCTGTATTAAAGTCAAACCATCTGCTCTACTTATCCCCATCACAAGAAGGCTTATTGAGAGGTTAGAAATGATCAAAGAAGCTTAAGCAGAAAGATCCATCACCTGCCTCTGGTCATCAGAGGGCAAATAACTGTCATCCTTCACTCACAGCCGTTCTTTCTAACGGCCAACCATTAAATTTAAGACATGTTTGCATTCCCAGTGCGGTTCTAAAATCCCAGAGCATAAATCACAATATCAAAAAAAGATCATTTAAAGTATACTTTCTCACCATTTAAATTCTAATGTTTGAATCCAGTGACAATGAATGAATGAATGTAATAAATTGTGAGCCAACTGCTAAGTTGCTTTAGCCAAAAACTGCCATTCATATGAAAATACTGTTATTATTGTTTAACCAGCTATTGGTGATTTTATTTTATTAATTAACCTAAGTAGAAAAAGGAACTAAAGATAGTGAATTGGCCACATTTAGACCAGCAAAATATGGCAAGTGTACGGCAGACTCATCTGTTCTTCTCACCATATTTGGCATGTCACTCTGTTCAACCTCTGCCTTGTAAGCAAACTGGACTGAATAAAAGGAGTCCAAGAGGGGCTTCAGAGTGTGTGGTTGAAGACTTGTGAAGCTCCTCTCTGTGGTAAGAACATCTCCTGTTCAGCACTGGGACAGTAACCCGTAGCATTCATTTATTTATACTTTATTTTCTTATATTTTAATATATATTTATGTATGTGTGTATAGCAAATTACAAATTTAATGAAAAATATAACTTTTGTTGCAAATATTGTATTGCTCTGGGTGGTAAAGAATTCCCATATTTAACTCATAGTTTAAAATATTTGTCATAGGGTTGAGTTAGGGTAAGTAAGTAGTTTATTTTCTAACCTAACTGAGAGACTGACAAACACTTTTCCTTAACAGAACTGCGGAATACAAAACTCTTTTCAAAAAGGGGAAGAGTAAGGTATGTAGAAATTAAGATGTAACAATGTTGATTAAGTCAGTTACAAATAAGATCAGGAAATTGATGACACTATTGAATATTGTTCATTTAGAAAACAAGGAAAATATTTTGGTTTTTTGACTCTACACAGACATAAACCGCCACCATGAGTACCGACGCTGAGATGGCCGTTTACGGCAAAGCTTCCATTTACCTCCGTAAGCCAGAGAAGGAGAGAATTGAGGCTCAGAACAAACCCTTTGATGCCAAAACTGCCTACTACGTGGTTGATGCCAAAGAGCTGTACCTGAAGTCCCAAATCCTCAAGAAAGACGCTGGCAAAGTCACCGTCAAAGTTCTGGACACTCAGGAGGTTTGTAAAGGAATAAAAGACCTAAATGGATGACATATCTAAAGAGTTCTACTAAGACAAACTTCCATTTGCAGGAGAGGACAGTTAAAGAAGATGAGGTCCATCCAATGAACCCTCCCAAGTACGACAAAATTGAGGACATGGCCATGATGACCCACCTCAATGAAGCCACTGTGCTGTATAACCTCAAAGAGCGTTATGCCGCATGGATGATCTACGTAAGACAACTTCTCTAAAGAGAATGGAAGTATAGAGATTAAGAAGATAGACAAGGAGTTAACTGTGTTTCCTTTATGAAACCTTTCAGACCTACTCTGGGTTGTTCTGCGTTACTGTGAATCCCTACAAGTGGCTCCCAGTGTACGATTCTGAAGTTGTAAGTGCCTACAGAGGCAAGAAGCGTATGGAGGCTCCACCCCACATCTTCTCTGTCTCTGACAACGCTTATCAGTTCATGCTTACTGGTAAGTCTTCAACTTAACTTTTGCTGCTGAAATTATAACGTAGATACAAACTGTAAGTTAATTGGTCTTCCACTTCAACAGATAGGGAGAACCAGTCTGTCTTGATCACGTAAGTATTCCATTGATTCATTTGTTTATCATAATCAAATATCATGATCTAATTCTTAATGTCTCTTTATACCCAGTGGAGAATCTGGTGCTGGAAAGACTGTGAACACAAAGCGTGTCATTCAGTACTTTGCCACAATCTCAGTGGGAGGAGATAAGAAGAAGGATGCAGGTGCAGGCAAAATACAGGTATGTTAAGGTTTAAAAGGTGGAGTGAACAATTTGCATGAAAGGGACCTCATGTTTAATAACATTTCCATACATGTGTTGTAGGGATCCCTGGAAGATCAGATCATTGCTGCCAACCCTCTGCTGGAGGCCTATGGTAATGCCAAAACTGTGAGGAATGACAACTCCTCTCGTTTCGTAAGTGTCATTTCGTTTTGTTTTTTTTTAATCAGAACACATGCATAATTTCAGTTCTTGTGTGAAGATACCAAACAAATTATCTTTCCTGAACAGGGTAAATTCATCAGAATCCATTTCGGCACAACTGGCAAACTGGCTAGTGCTGACATTGAGACATGTAAGTTATTCTCTTCAGAGTAAAAACAGAAGTAAAAAAACTGCAGAGGTTGACTGATGAACAATATTCACAGATCTGCTGGAGAAGTCCAGAGTGACATTCCAGCTTCCTGATGAGAGAGGCTACCACATCTTCTACCAGATGATGACCAACCACAAGCCTGAGCTTATTGGTGAGCATTCAGTGGAGAATTCTAACCCAAACCCCTTTTGATAATTAAAATAAAAAATAATTGAAAAATGTTATCACTTTTAATTTATCAGAAATGGCACTCATCACAACCAACCCATACGACTTCCCCATGATCAGCATGGGTCAGATCACCGTGGCC